CAGCAATGTCTCGCAGGCCATACGATGCGACACATATTTGGAGGCTCCTAAATCGATTAAATAAGCCTTTGAAACCCCTAGATTGTCAAATTTTCCGAGAGATTTTGAACTACACCTGACCGCGCCCACTCTTTTTCGTCGGGGACACCCCCCGACGAGGGCCTCGGACCACCCGTCTGGCAATTCTTGGCGCCACCACCGGCGTCAATCAAAAACTTTCAAAAGTGATCCAGGAGGTAAAACCAAAAAAATTGAAAATTTTGGGATATCAAAGACTTATTTAATCGATTTTAGATTCTACTCATATGTATAAACTACATATAATTTTGTTTTCTCCCCGACGAATTATGGTTTTCCCCTCACCTGGGGGTGGGTCATATCTCTCCTCGACAGGGGCCCTTGTTTTGACAGTTGTTTGATCGTTTTTTAATTTTTGATGTATGTTACCAATAATTTGAGGAAAGGAAATAAATTTGAATTTGAATAACATGTTGATAATTAAAATTGTTTGTTTTAATATATTTATTTTTCATTATATCGATATATTTATATTACATAAATATCATTTTTGGTATTTAATTTACATCTATCAGTAATATGGTACTTAAAAAAGACACATGGGTATCCGCAGTCACCAGAGGGCGTATGTTCCAATAAGCACCACTGGCTGTTACATTATTTTTTTTTTAACTTTAGCAGAGGGCGCTAATTGGAGAATATTGTTTATTTTACAGCGGTGCTTACTAAAAATGGCCTATCTGACATGTTTTAACGCTATATTTTATTTCAAATCTATAACAAATCTAACAGCATCGCGATGATAGGTTACGAAAGGTTACGAAACACAATTACTTGCATATCTCCCACGATCATGAAAAGATGTTAAACTATTCTAGGATATCTAACGCGTCAGTGCGTGTTGATATTGTTGCTGTTGATGGTAATGATGATGATGATTATGATAATACTATAATAATAATAATAATGATAATAATAATAATAATAATAATAATAATAATAATAATAATATTAATGATGATGATGATAATAATAATAATAATTATAATAATAATAATAATAATAATAATAATAATAATAATAATAATAATAATAATAATAATAATAATAGTAATAGTCATAATCATAATCATAAATGGCAATTTCTATAGAGTCGGTATCCAACAATATAGAAGGGTAATCATGGCACAGTTGACAACCAACCGATGAAGTAGATGAGTACAATAAGGCCTGGCAACCACTGCAAAAATGTGTGTACATCTACTTCTGGAACTGCGTAAGCACAGGTAAACATGGACAGAGACATTTCTTTGTAAGAACACAAATAGACAAGCGTACATAAGGGAGATCATACATCGTTGTAGAAATACACATTTTTTTATACAATATACCGTACGTAGGACCTTCCAGCCTACGCAGGGTCTTCCTAAATAAATGAAACAATGCGAAGCTCTATAAACTAAGCCTCAGGGTGTGGAGATTGTTTATATTGAATAAGAAAAATCCTATGTTGTCACAGGATTTGAAATCATGACTACGGGATATGCAGGGAAGCACCTTAACCAAAAAGCTACATCTCGTCTCACCGTAAGCACGTCACATCATGGGATAAACAACAAAAATACAATTCAACTTCACGATTTCAAACTGTTCTTTATTCAAAATAGTTCGTTTCTGGGTATCTTAGGTACAAAAAAAGGGATATTGCACGCCTGTTATATCAAACGATGTAAATGGATTACAGAACTATGCATAATTATAATATGGGACGAGTCAATTTGTGTGGCGTCACACAAGTGCAACTTGTGTGCCTGTGTTTCTTCAGTTATCTTAATAATAAAAGCAACATTTTGTACAGTCCAATAATTATTCTTAACATAGACACCTTGATGAAAATGGTTAAAGTTGAAGGCATCCACAAACGGCTACCGATAAGTAGGATATAGTGTAATACCTTACACATGACTAAACTTTAAGGGGAGCCAGCCCGTAGGTAGACAAATATAATACTCACATTCTCTTAAAGATATACTTTATGAATTCATACCTGTAATCAAAGTGATAAAATATTTTCTTTGTTTCATATGTTTTTCGTAAAAAATAATCTTCCAGTAAAATAAAAATAAAAAAATATCCTGTGTTTCAGTCTTTAATTTGGTTTTTAAAAAAAAGAAAACACCTATGACGAATTCTGACGTCTCTGGCGAATTAATATTACTGCAACCACTCCAAAGATTCCGAGAACAATTACAATGGTGAGAACGACACCCAATGCAGTTGTATTTACTCCTTTAGCCATACTTGCATCCGAATCACCATCGGTACCATCGATGTTCAAGGCACTGCCATTAGCATCAACGTCAGAAGCATCATTATCATCAATTGCTACCTGTGATCCACCATTTAAGGTCTCTGCGCTGTTCGACTGACCCCCAGCACCAAGAGCGGGGACTTGGGTATACACACCGCCTGCGTATGACCCGGCTCCGTTGGGATTATAGGATGAGAACTGTCCGCCGCCAGCTCCTACTGCGTTTCCAGGTTGGGCATAGTTAGGGTCATTTATGTTAACATTTGGATCGTTGATGTTCACATTTGGTCCGCCAGCAGGAGGAGCAAAGTATTTTGGGGTCGTAGAAAACCGTTGAGCTGTTGCTGCAATTGGAAAAAGTATTAAAACTCATTATCATAATAATTGTACATCTTTATCATCATCATCATCATTATTATTGTTATTACTGTTAATATTATTATTATTATTATTATTATTATTATTAATATTATATATTATCGTTATAATTATTATTATTATCATCATCATCATCATCATCATTATTATTATTATTATTATTATTATTATTATTATTATTATTATTATTATTATCATTTTCATTATATCATTATTACTATTATTATTTTCATTATATCATTAATACTATTATACTAAATAGTACTGGTACCAAAAAGTATGTTTTAAGCTGTGCTAAAATTAAACAAATCTGTGGTACGTTTGAGGTTCAAGCAAGTGTAAATTTTAATATCCGGTTTGCTAAACACCACCCTTTAGCTATTGTTGCTAAGGTGCGCCCCGAAAACAAACAAACAGCGTCCAACCAACTGTCATGCTTGTGAGACATGTGTGTTTCCTGCCCTAATCATGTGTTCCCATCGATCAGATTTTAAGTTTGATTGACACTATAGAAAGGTTCATTGTATCGAATGCTTAAATTAACAATGATGATTATTATTAACAGTTTTATTTTGTTATCTTCATATTACTGTATAATAATTGTATAAAATATTTAAACACTTCACAATTCTAAGCACTAAACATTGAAAAAATACCATGCCCACTATATCTAAACAAATAAGACTTTGCTTAGTAAACAGTCATTTTATATCAACGGACCCGTATTCAACATTGTGATAAACATGTCAAAAATTTACGATAGTAATAAAATAACATAACGTAACAAAACGGTATCACACACAAGTTTAATTTTTCTTTCTAATCCTTATCCTACAATGAATAAGTTGCCAAATAAGATGATCAAAAAGTAGAGTTTTTCTTAGTTTTTCTTCTTATTCTGAAGATTCGGAAGGAACTTATTATCACTGAAACTCTTTCACCTTTTCCACCAAGTCAGTATCGAAAATAACATAAGAATGTGTAGGTCTGTAACCTAATTCAGCAGTCAACTTTTTGACCTGTAGCCATGTGGATATTATTCATCAAAAAAAAAAAATCAAATTTAGGTTATTCACGTATTGGTAACGTTAAAACGGCAAATACGATAGGAAATTTTGCCATAATTCAATTTCCTAAGCCCATGTGCCACCTCGTGTCGGGATTCTGAGTCAGCGATGTTATCAGCCTATCAATTTTCTTTTTAATAGAAAGATAACTTTCAACATCAGAAGAGAAACAAGTGAGAGAAAGTTTGCTCATCCAAATATTATTCAAATTATGACATATTATTGACATTTTAATCCAGAGGCAGAAAGGCGTTTATAGGAAATCTATCAATGGAAACTGTTTCAGTTTTCTTTTAATTACCTCCATATAATTGGTTATAATCTATAACTACTGCCTAGAAGCGATAAAATTAATGCCGTTTCTTTTCGTTTTTCATTTTAACCACTTTGTTATAAATTTGTTATTATACAATTATTAAATATGTTATTCTACTTCTCTCTCAATAACTTTGAAAATATTTCTACTAATTTTACATTTCAATATAAAATAAGCCGACTTTTGAAAAATAATAAGCTTTGATTTTAGACAAATAAACTTTAATTTCACTAACTTGCCAGGCAATTACAGTCACTTTAGCAAAACCTCCCTTTGTGAGAAATTTGTTGAAGTTCGTTTAGGCCTATTTATACTAATAATAGTTGTTACGGCAACTCTAATCTGTGTTATAAGCATACATTACCGGTAATTTATAATATTTTATTTAAAAGGACAATCTATAAAAAAAAATTGAATAACAATAAAGGTTTAAAAATGAGCCGGCAACATCCAACCTTTTTATTATTAGAAGGTTTTAAAGACCCTAAATAATAATGTATGTTTTTAAGATGTCACTTACCCAGGCCGACCAGCAGTAAAACAGCGGTAACCATCAAAGTCTTCATGGTAATGCTTTTTCTGTTGAACCAGCAACTTACAAGCAAATGATCAGATTATGAAAGTGGTCCGATTGACTTCAACGACTGAAATGGTGCTGCAGAGAGGGGTGTTGGGCCTTTTATTCTCACTCTCGAAGAAAGTAAAATTGAAGTTTCCTGTTACACTTATTTGACTACTCTGGGGAGATTTCCGTCGTTAATTATCTGCATACAGATATTCGTATCCCCTTGCATAATCCTACAAGTTGCTAGTAAGTGCGGCTCAATCTGCGCATGTGTAATAAATCTGGGTGGTTTGGTAACAGAAAGCATTTTACGCATAACTTAATAGGGATGTACGTCAAGTAAAATTTACCATTTCATCGAAACAATAAGTATTATTTGTTTAACAATTTTGCTTAGAAGGAGAAATGAATAATATATAATTCATAAGTTATATTCGGCTTCGTTAGTGGTGCCGAAAATTAATTGACGCATAAGGCTGTCTTTATATAAAATCTCCACTAATTATAGATAAACGTTTATTTGAATATTCATGTTCGGTTGAATAATGTGAACTTTCTGTAGGTGTATAATGAATTTAAATTTATCCTTATTATTTGGTAATAACCTTTACTCTTCTGCTTTAACGAAAAATAATTAAAAATGTTGGGTAATATATGATAAGATCAATATACCTACTAATATCATTTTTATTTGTAGTAGTAGATGTAGTAGCTTAGTAGTAGTAGTAGTAGTAGTAGTAGTAGTAGTAGTAGTAGTAGTAGTAGTAGTAGTAGTAGTAGTAGTAGGTAGTAGTAGTAGTAGTAGTAGTAGTGGTAGTGGTAGTGGTAGTGGTAGTGGTAGTGGTAGTGGTAGTGGTAGTGGTAGTGGTAGTGGTAGTGGTAGTGGTAGTGGTAGTGGTAGTGGTAGTGGTAGTAGTGGTAGTAGTGGTAGTAGTAGTAGTAGTAGTAAAAGTAGTATTTGATTGATGCCGGTCATATCAGTAATGGCGGAAAAATACTCAGCAGCAAGATCCCAGTGTTTCAGAAACATGTAAACCGCTTCCTGTAGCACGCTTCAATCTTCAACGCACATCTTATGTAAATGGATGTGTGAAGGCTTTATCTGCTATCACTTGCTTTGATTCATATTCCCATGAATGATTTTCATATACACAAAGCGAAAATCACAATCGGTTATCTGTAAAAATTCGACAATTAGAAAAGAAAATACATCACATGTATTAAATTTGTACATTTTATTTTAATGATTTCACTTTTAAATGTGCCAATATAGGCGATAGCCGATTCAGTGGTGTAGAGTTATCGATGTTTCAATGTGTACGCATCAGAACAAATGAGGAGACAATAATTTTACACATAATAATAATTGTATAAATAGCACCACTCTAATTACTAATTATAGTCATTACCATCATCATCATTGCTACAAAATGCCCTAGCTCTTAAAATTCGACGACCGTGTAAAATGCAACATTCTTAGCGATTTAAGGATTCAGTCTTGTTAATGTTGTTCAAGCTTTTGTTATACCACACAGAAAATATTTCTAAAGCCACGTATCTCTATGGTTATGTCTGTGGTGGATTAAAGCCAACTTCCTAGGGACTCTAAAAGAAAGAACAGCCCAGCTAGGAAATGGACCATATAATAGCGTTACAATTGTAATATTCCTTGAATAAAATCAAGATCACTATCGAAGAAATAACGTTACAGTTTGGTGCTGAATGGGCTTTCTGTAGCACCATAAATTATAATGTCCATATAGTAATGTCACGAACGTTGCTGCAAGGTTATATTAGCATCATTTTCTGACAGCCTAGCCACAACGTCCACAACGTTATTGAACGTTTTAATACAGTAGCATGCTGTGTTTTGCTGGGATAGAAAGACAAAATTTAAAAAAAAAAGAAGCATAGATATAAAGAAGTAGATATTTAATACGTGGACATTTTAAAGCTGTCATGGTCACCAACAGACCTGGCAAAAGTATTTTGAGAATAACATCCGATGATTGCCTTGGACGTATATTGTATGCAGCCCAAGGCAACAGAAGTTTCTGACAGATCCGCAGAAAATATCCTTGAAAATAACTAGGCCTATTCGAGTTTGACTAAAATTAATAATCAAGTTCTTTGCCAGAAAGATAAATGGGAACAGGAGTGAAAACTATTCGTAACATGCTCGTTTGTTTTTAGCGCTAATAATAATAATAATAATAATAATAATAATAATAATAATAATAATAATAATAATAATAATAATAATAATAATAATAATAATGTGTACTTTGCTTTGTTGCTTTACAGTTTGTTGTTCAAACCAGGTTTTCTCTGCTGATTTTTTTTTCTTCTAATAGTATCTAATTCTAATTTTGGTTTTTTTGTTACAATGAAAAGAAGCGTATTACTTATAAAATAAATATATCGAGGAAGACTTGCCGTAGTGAAGAGTACGGTACTGTATTGCTTAACTTGTCAATTTGTCACATCTAATAATAATATTGTGATTATAAAATATTAGAGATAAATTGCAACACATTACTCAAATATTGGGTATATCATCGTATGAAGCTTCTTTTATTGGAAATATAATTAAGATGACACACAAACTTCCTTTTTACTGTCATTATGCCTCACAGATTTAACCTTTTAGAGTTCAGTTAACCCTAATAACCTTTTGTTTTCTTAAATTCACATTTCAAAATTTTAGATATAGGCCGGTTTAGAAAATGTACTCAAATGTTTTACATGCTTAATCTTACTACTCTGCCAGTAAAATTCTTAATTTGAATTGCTTTAATTCTACATTGTATAGCTTATTAAGGCAACAGAGCTATTAATGTTTAATGTTGGAAATCAGACAAGAAAATATGTTTCTTTGCCGAATTACAGATTCTTTGTATAAACACAATATTCGTAAGTAAAACATGATGACGAAGAAGATGATAAATGATGACGGAGCACTGTTCACTGTTTCAAAAATCTGTAAATGCCGATGATTTGTGTCTTTGGTTGAGATATTTTACTTTAATTAGCTCGTCCTTTTAAGCCATTGGTCCCGTGTACATAATTGTTTTGTGCCCCAAGACATACGGTAAGCATACATACTATTCGAAAAGTATAGAGAATTGTCAACTGGTGTGTTGACCAATTCACTTTATGACCGTGTATTCATATTTATGATGTGTAAGTAAAAGAAATCACAACTAAGAAAGTCAATCGAGGATTGACACCCTTAGTGTTTATATGTGCTCCAAATACATAATTTAAATCAAATTTAACCAATTACTTGTGACTTGTAACTTTAAAAACTTTAGAGCAAGCAAAGCGGTCACTGTTCCAAATGATTGTGGTCAGAAATTAATTCCATGCATACATATCGCTCATTGTGGAAGTAAAACGGAAAGAATAGAATAATTAACTAAGTAAGGAGTCATCATGATTATCATCAATAGATACATTTGTTTCACTAACAAGCGGATGCAGTAATTATTAAATTCCAGTTTTCTCCTTGAGTTGCAACTAATCACATGGTCGTATCATCCAGTGGCAATTTCTGTTGGTATTTGAAGGGCTTACAAGCAAAAAAACACCCCAGCAAATGTCGTTTATTCACTATGTCACATGAGCATAAAGCTATTACGGTCTACTCCTCAGTAGCCTTAACGTAGGTTGGTTTCAAACGGTGTGATAATATTTTACATTAATTAGTTTTTTTTTATCATTTCATTTTTATATCACACAGTTTCTGGTTATTTTATTCCATATTTATTTCCATCCGTTCAACTAACAAGCAAACAAATGCCGAAACATAGAAGGCAAGCCTGTATACAGATTAAATTAATAACAATACCCTTCTTTAAAGAATGATACATATTACTTTAACGATTATGATGATGAAAATAATAATAATGGAAATAATTAATATTAACGATTATGATGATGAAAATAATAATAATAGTAATAATTAATATAGTTCATACAAATATCTATGCTCTCTATTCATCATTGGACTTTTCAAGAAATAAGCAGTCTTGTAAATTACAATCAACGTTAACTGCCGATATAATAAAAGAGAGAAAGCACTAGGCTTACATAACATACAAATATTATTTGAACACCATTTTATCAGTATATTTTTTTTTATCAAAGTATTATTATTAAAGAAATCAAAAGTATGGTAACGCTTTAATTGAGGAACTTCCAAACTAAATTTAAAACTATAAATATTGCTCTTAACAGCAAACCATTAAATTCTTTGGTTTATTGACAGCAAACATTGTTTGATTTATAAAAAAAAATTGATATGATGAGAATCATACTGCCTTTATGAAAATGAGCACGTCGACGTTATATAAATTTATGGGACTGAAAATAGAATTCTGTCAATCATTTGCGACAGTATACTGTCGCCGTAAGTTCAGAGTAATTAATCCTGGACATTTGCAGCTTTTTGTGCAAAACTTCTTTAAAATGTATCTCAGCCCTGACCTCATGCTGATGGCTTTGGCTCATCAGCCCATGAACATGTAGTTGTACTCTGTTTAATTTGATTGATTTGTACACTACCATTCTGAGTCATGTCACAAGATAGTGGATAACAATAAACTGGATGGAAACTCCACCCAATGATGTTTTATCATAAAGTGTTATTGGCAATACTTGAGAATATTACCTTACTCTGATAGGCAATACGGAAGCATTAAATACACATATACATTCAATGTATTTCGGGTTTTTGTTTTTTGTTTTTTTTTTATTCTTATAAAAAAAGATTGCATTTACTTGCTCTTATAAATAGGAGAGATAATGTTGCCAGTATGATTGGCAACATCATTTAGTTAAAATGTTAGGAATGTATGTTAAATTTGACCTAATTTCTGCATTGAAAAAACGTAACGAATAGTAAAATGCTGTGCCAACTTTGAAACAGGGGCAGATCTAGCCCGGAAAGAAAGATATGAAACGTTTTTGCCACTTTTTATCATTTTTTGCTAGTTCAGCTATCGCGAAAAGCAGCGATAAACTAAGGTCAAATCAACCCTGCTGTACTCACGGGTAGTTAAGGATCGACCAATTAAAAACATTCGGTTTGTTTCATTTTCATTATGGGGTC